GAACCCGCCACCTTAGGTGTACGTGGCTGGTGCCTTAGCCGCTTGAGCCACAGGCGCCGAGCCTAAATGTTTAATCTTTAACGATATTTTATTTAAGCCAGTATGTTCAAATTATCATTATCTCGATATGGAATCAGTATTTTAAAAGTTATTAATGAGATACTTTGCACTATTTTCATACTAAGTCTTCCAAATATGCAGATTTATTATTTAATTTAATTATTATTATCTTCTTTTGAGACAGGGTCTCACTTTGTCATCTAGGTTGGAGTGCAGTGGCCCCATCATAGGTTACTATGGCCTCAAACTCCAGGGGTCAAGCAATCTTCATGCCTCAGCCTCTTGACTAGCAGATGCCCTGCCCCTGTAAGCCTGGCTTGCTCCTATAATCTCAGGAGCTAATTTTTCTATTTTTTGTAGAGATGGATCTCACTCTTGCTCAGGCTGGCCTTGGATCCTGGCCTCAAGAGAGCCTCCCTCCTTGACCTCCCAAAACTCTGGGTGTGAACTACTTCACCTGGCCTTAGATATTTAAAAAAAGAAATTTATTTTATTCAATTATCTGTCTTACCAGCTGTAATGTTAAGCCAGGAGGTCAAGGGTTTGTGTCCTTTTGCCCCTGTTCCCAGCACACAGTAGGTGCTCCATAAGTGCTTTCAGAATGAAAGGATGGCCCATTCTCCAAAGATGCTATTCAGTGTCTAAACTCAGCCCTGCCCCCCTCCCCGCCCCGTGAGAGATAGGCTTTGGCTCCGTCTCATCCCAGCCTTGGGCAAGTCATTCCATTACTCTGTGCCTCAGTTTCTTCATCTGGTAACCAGTGGTGACAACAGTAAATACAGGGTTACATGAGACGCAGATGTATTTAACAGAGTACATAAAGCCTGGCCTTAACTGTGTCTTAAAACAAGAATTGGCCGCTGCATTGTGATGACTGTTCCTGATTGGCCTGGGGGTGGTCTCGCTGGGGAGACCTGATTGGCCTGGTCCCCTCAGGACTCGCTGGGGAGGAGGAGAGGCCGCCCCTTCTCCAGAATGAGGAAGGAGGCTCTGCCAGTGGTTGGCCACCACGTGGACTCAGTCTGTGGTGGGGTTTTCCCGCTGCTGCCCCACCCTCCCTGGGCCCCAGCCTCTCTTCCTCTGGCGCCCTTTGCTGGTGAACCTGTCAGGCCAGGTCTGGGCAGGTCTGGAGGTAGGCGGGGAGCCCTGGGCCTCCCCACCTCCTGCCTCCTCACGGCCCGCCCTGTTCCCAGCACTCAGGCGTCTCACCAAGCTGGGCTCCCCTGGTGTCCCAGGCAGGGAAGTTGGGGTCCCCAGGGAGTGACACCCCAAGAAGAAGGAAGCTCCCCCACCTTGCATGTCCTAGGGGCTAACCGGGGCAACGGGGAGTAGGGGGAGATGCCGCCTTGTATCCTCTGAGGCCCCCACACCATGGCCCATTCGCTGACCTGGCGCTGCTGCCCGTGGTGCCTAACAGAGGATGAGAAGGCTGCAGCCCGAGTGGACCAGGAGATAAACAGGATCCTCCTGGAACAGAAGAAGCAAGACCGCGGGGAACTGAAGCTCCTTCTGCTGGGTAAGTCTAGGGCAGACAAGGAGGAAAAGGACCAAGCTAGATTAGAAGCCGTCACCACCCCTGGTGCATGGAGAGCCTGGCAAACCATTTGCCTGATGAGGAGAACGAGAGGCCAAGTTCCTTGCCAAGTGTGATCAATGGGCCCTGCACCCAGGCCTGAGCCAGGGTGGCTCAGATGGACCTGCCCTACCTGCCTGTGTCATGGGAATAGAATGATGAACTCAGGTGTGCAACCCGCCCTGGCCTGCCAGCCCACAAGGGAGGGGCCAGCTCTAGCCGTTCCCCCATCTCTGGAGAGCCCAGGACTCCCCCTCTGGTCTCTGTCTCTCTGTCTTGCCTGTGGAGGATTTGTCCAGGGTTTGAGGGCCAGGATTGGTTGATTGGTTCACTCATTCATTCATTCATTCCTTCAAGATATAGAGTCATTCCTAGGGATGCAGCAGCGAATAATGGAGAAAATATTTGCCTCCATGGATCTTATCTTCCAATGAGAGAGACAAACATTAAGCTCATAAACTGATTAGCAAGTAAAATAATTTCTGGCAGCAAAAAGATTCTAGGAGAAAAGAAAATAGGGTGTGGGACTTGATGGCAGAGGCATAGGATGGGAGAAGAGGCTTTAGAGTTGATGTCGGTGAGGACTTTAAGACTCCAAGATTCTAAAAAAAAAAAAAAAAAGACTCCGAGATTCTCAGCTTTGAAACCTCAGAGTCTGGTCACTCCTGTGTCTCTGCGTCCCCAACTACCATCTCCTCTTGTGGTTCTGGCCTCCTAAGTCCAGGAACACTGGCCTTGGAGGGTTTCCTGGAATCCCTGAGCCCGGGACTGGGGGCTGGAAAAGGTGCCAGGTCTTCCAACCCACATGTGCCTGCGGGTTCATCCTGTGATGGTCAACATCACACTTTCCTTGCTTAGTGGCTGACCCCGAGAGGGAGGAGAGAGGAAAAAGAGTGCGGAGGAGGAGACCCCTGTGAATTGTACCTTAATCGAGCTTCCTTCCAACTCTAGCCTTGATCTCTCTTGCTGAATTAGGTGAAAGAATTTTTCACCCACTTACTCTCCAGGGAACTCTAGTGTGACATAAAACCCAAACTGTGGTCCCCCTTGAGTTCTGGGACCCCAGCTCCTGCTACTTTCTCTCATAATCAATCCTTTGCTGTAGCTGCCTGGCTCCTTTGCTCTCCATTGACTACAGCCTTTTTCCCTTTTTTTTTGGATAGGTTCTCACTCTGTTGCCTAGCGCATTGGGGCCCTGAACTCCTGGTCTCAAGCAATCCTCCTGCCTCAGCCTCTCAAGTAGCTAGGACTATAGTTCTGTGCCACCACACCTGGCTGACTTTTCTTTTCTTTTCTTTTCTTTTTTTTTTTTTTGCAGTTTTTGGCTGGGGAGGTGTTTGAACCCACGACCTCAGGCATATGGGGCGGGCGCCCTACCCTTTTGAGCCACAGGCGCCGACCTTGACTTTTCTTATTCTTTGTAGAGATGGGGTCTTGCTATGTTACTGAGGCTGGTCTCAAACAATTCTCCCACTCAGTCTCCCAAAGTGCTGGGATTACAGTTTTGAGCCACTGCTCCTGGCCCATTTTTCCTTAAATATTTGGTAGCATCAGTTGAACCATTTGAGTCTAAAAGATTTTTAGTTAAGAACTTAATTTCTGGCTCGGTGCCTATGGCTCAAGTGGCTAAGGTGCCAGCCACGTACATCTAAGGTGG